GGCCCATCGCGTCTTAATACAGATATTTCCACAGAATTTCTGCCCCCACTCCAATCCTTTAGGTTTTTCGCGTATCGCACTGGCTTACCTGTCAGTCCGCAATTTTCTCACGGCTCTCCATAATGTACGTGGTCAGACGGACTGACTCGCCATCAGAATTCAGCACTGTCGAGTCCAATTTTGGTTATCACCAAAAACCGTTAATAAAAATTCGTTGGCGAGAATTAAATATCATTCCCTAACCTGTAAAATGTAATAAAATGTAAACAGAATTTTACATGAAGACAAAAACTATTGGACTCAATGTAACTGATTAGATACAAGTCGGTATTTTAGATGAAGACTACTTAGGTTGGCTAAACAACCTTCAATCTCAACGTATATAAAAACATCTCTCTTTAATAAAGATGTCCGAAGAACAATGGATAATAAAATTTCTCTTGTCTTTAAGATGAAACACACTGTAAAGTCTTCTTAAGTGACCAGCTGTGTGATTATGGATTACGTCTTCATATTTACACAGATGATGTTCATAAAATTGTCAAATATATTATGTTTTTACGCCAGTCTTGTAACTGTGTTCGATGGATTCTGTCCGTAACCTATTTCATTCGTCTTAAATGCTGATAAAGATCGTCTTTGAAATATAAAAGACCAAATTCTGTGTCGTACAGAATAGAAACATCTCGCATTAGTAAGTTCAGCAGTTTAGCACCCATTTAAAATACAGTTATTCTCACTTCCCGTTAACTTACGTTCATCAAAAGCGCACAATATCTCGTCAAGACGTAAATGATTTTTATCTGAAAGGGACATTGCACTGATGGCTTTCGATTGGTCACAAACACTAATTCACGAAAGAGTACAATTAATTCCAGGCACTTAAAATAAGACTAGACTCACATGAAGCACTTCTAATTTATTGTATCAAAGTTTAAATTATATCGTTTTACATTAAAAAAGCACACGCTGCACTGAATTCTGGGACCTTTTACCGTCGAAGATGTCCGTTACTTGCCACGGATCCAGGAAGAATAAACAAACCTGATCGATGCAGCTCAAAGCGTAGATGGACAATGTCGGATGATAATAGTGTCCTTAGGACCTTAATTATTACTATCCGTAATCCCTCCCTCGTGTCCAGACAGAGGTTTTAGGTAATAGTCCATGTCTTTATAGGCTGGACTGTGAGTGAGTGACATGTCATGCTAGGATCTGCCTTCGTGATGCACGAAAACCTTGCGGACAAGACAGAAATAGTCTTGCAATAGACTATTGCCCCTTCTCCACTTTATTATTATGTAATGTCGTGTGACATGGCAGAGGTGAAGATCATGGGGCAGTTCCGGTCATCAACAGGTTGTCACGAATATCGGTACGTAGTGCAGCCTTCAGAAGGCTGCAAGACTTCGTTCGTGGTGTTAACGGGCTTGTGACTTTGCTGCGGTGAATGTAAAGCAACAATATTAAGAAAACCAATAGCTAAAATTAAAAATGAACATTAACTAAAACATGAAGACGTAATAACCACTGTGCATAAAAAATTAAATTAAAAAAAATTCTTGCAAAATCAAACCAATGTCTTACTGGATTTAAATTAATTAGGTTTTTTTTTACTTCATACGCGTAAGACGTTATTTGTAAACAAAGTTATCTATAATATTAATTTATTTTCCCTTTTGGAATCGTAGTTTTATTTAATAAAGCTACGTAATAAGGTTAACGATGAAGAAAGAAATTGACAGTGGAACCACGGTTCCCTAGTTAACATTGAATAACGTTTGACTGTAGAAGTATATTTGTACTGAAATAAAATTTTATTTACACATTAATGTATTCCTCTACATCTTATCTATACGTGACGTCATCCGCCGACAGCTTATCTATGCGTTGCGTCATGTACTCAACGCACTCACTCTAGAACCGTTCTCTATTACCAAATAAATGGCCAAAACTCCTAAACCGTAAGAGTTAGCTGAAATCTGTTTGCAAATTTGAAAAGCTCGTGTTTATTTACGTATTTCACTCGCAATATGTCCAGATCTAACTCTTACGCTTTAGACGTGGCAAGCGGTTGAAGTTGAGTTATTACATGTCTTGGGTAATTATTTCAACAATGTTTAAAATATGCATTATAGAATAAAGTAAACATCATTTTACTCTTTAATTTACATGTAGGTTCATATTCTCTATCTTACATAGGTCTCGAGTTATTGGCGTTTGAAGACGTTACACACCAGCGTTACCTTACGTCTTACAGTATATGTCGAGTGTGCCGTGATCTTATAAACGTTATTTAACGTTAATAAATACAAAAAGTCATTTGTCGCTTGCGTATTAGCCAAAGAAATTAACATTCTTTTTGTTCATAATAATGCCTCTTCGAAAGATAACGTACGTTGTGTACAGTAAAAGTTACAAGATTTCTTTTTAAATCTTTATTTAAAATTGAATGTGAGCTTATTTGTTTTTCTGTGTTTTATATTAAAGCGGTAAATGTGAAGTCAGACAGAAACGTCGCCAACTGTGTTTAATAGTAAATTTATTGAATTCAGCTGTAATAATAATGACAATAATTACTTCACTGCTGTAACCCACTACTACATCTCGGGCTCCGCTTATACTGGAAAATTCCAGACGCTGAGGCCTGTTTATTCGCAGTTCTGACTTCACCTTTTGGTCAAATTTACTAAAGATCTGGTTACAAACCCGGTTCTGGTAACTAGCAGTTCAATAATTTTGCCTGGGAGGTTATTTATGACACGCTCTTTGCGAGATGTATATATATACGAAATGAACGCATATGTTTGTCTGAACGATTACACACAAGCAACGTTCTACGGTTTAAAATAAATTTAACATTAGAGGCTACTTTATAATTTCCTACAGTTTATAATAGCAACATGGAGGAAGCAGGAATTTGTAAAGAGAAGAATAAACAAGTTTTAAAATATATTAATGTATTTTAGTAATACTAAAACGTACGTAATGTAGTTTACATTTCGTCTCTGGCTTTTTCTTAAATAAATAAAGACAAGCAGCTAATAGTTTACGAATAAAATTCATCTTACGTTGAAAAGATACGTTTATATATCGTCTGCGGTCTATTTATACGCTCATGTGAACGGTACCTGTTCTAAACGTACAGTATATTTACGATATAATTTTTGTCAGCTAGGTCATTTAGAGGACAAAGGAGCATACAAGGTGCGATCGAAAGGTTTCAAGACTGCGCGTATAAAAACCCGTACACTTATCTCAGGTATTAAATTCATCCATCACCCTCGAAGTAGTTCCCCTGGGAGTGAACACAACGATCCCAGCGCCGCTGCCAAGCCTGGAAGCATCCCTGGAAATCTTTCTTTGTCAGCCTGTCAAGCACCATCTGCGATTCTGCCTCAATCTCTTCTATCGTCTCAAATCTCCTTCCCTTTAGCTGAATTTTCATCTTGGGGAAGAGGAAGAAGTCACACGGAGCTAA